TATATATATATATATATATATATATATATATATATATATATATATATCTTACTTGGGGATGGAAGGATCCATTCTCCTCCTCCAATCTTCTTCTCTGCTTCCCTGTTTATTCTGGCCCCCTGGATGTTATGGTGACTACTTGGTATGAAATACTGGCCTTTTATTTATTTTTCCAGCTTGGGGCCCTGGGTAGGACTTGAACTCGTGACCCTGAGATCAAGACCTGAGCTGAGATCAGAAGTGCGTTGCTTAATGGACTGAACCACCCAGCCCCCACTAAAATACTGACCTTTTAAAACTTCATTGTGGGAAGAGCCATATATAGTCCTTGTAAGAAGTAATTGTGGGTATTCAGAAACTTTAAAATTCAGGTCTATTAGGCAAAGAAACTTGTTCCTTTTTGTTAAACACTAACACCCACTCCCAGAGACATATTTTGATTCAGGTTAATGTTAAGTGGTCAACTCTTTCATTAGGCATAAAGAAATAATGGTCTATTTTTATCCCTACTTACATAGTGTATTTTGTTGTACATATACAACATGACTTAAGCATCTAGAAATTCATTACAATATATCAGTTATTTCATGTTCTACCATTGACCAAGGCATGTCATGGTGCCATTCTTGAAAACACATCGGTATTACTGATACTTCACCTCAGTGCTCAAGAACTGAATTGTCGTGCCACTGAGCATAGATATAAACTCAGCCATGTGTCGGGGCGCCTGGGTGGCGCAGTCGGTTAAGCGTCCGACTTCAACCAGGTCACGATCTCGTGGTCCGTGAGTTCGAGCCCCGTGTCGGGCTCTGGGCTGATGGCTCAGAGCCTGGAGCCTGTTTCCGATTCTTTGTCTTCCTCTCTCTCTGCCCCTCGCCCGTTCATGCTCTGTCTCTCTCTGTCCCAAAAATAAATAAACGTTGAAAAAAAAAATTAAAAAAAAAAAACTCAGCCATGTGTTTGCTGATTCACTTCTGCCCCCATCATTCTTTTTTTTTTTAAGTTTATTTATTGATTTTTAAGACAGAGAGAGAGAGAGAGAGAGAGCGAGAGCAATGGAGTGGCAGAGAGAGAAGGAGAGGGAGAGAGAGAATCCCAAGCAGGTTTTGCATTATCAGCACAAAACCGACATGGGGCTCCATCCCAAGAACCACAAGATCATGACCTGAGCCAAAGTCAAGAGTTGGACATTTAACCAACTTTGCCACCCAGCCCCCGTCTCCGTGATTCTTGATTGTTGGTATCTAGAACTGAGAACCCTGACCACAATGGAATCAGGCAAAGCGAGCTTTTATCTTCAGACTCATGAGGTAGAATAAATGCTTTGCAAAGGCTTCATCAAATCAGTGAGTGTGAGACCCTGATTCTTGCCAGAATTTCGATAGATGACCATATGTAGCTTAAACACAATTACTAGTTATTTCTCACAGGTTTGAATTATCTTTCTGTAGTTTAATTCACTTTTAAAGTCAAGTTATAGTTAAAGGCTTACATAAACTTTGTCATTGGCTGTTACAAGTTAAGGAGGAAAAAAAAAAAAAAAACAGACATGAACAAAGAGAGGCAGCCAGTCACAAATTATGTAAAATTACAGATATATTTGTTAGGGGAATAATATCTACTGTGTGTCTAAACTACTAGATATTTTGAAAATTGATCAAGAAAAAAAGAGCTTTTTGAAATGGCTGGAAGCTCTTTTCTGTCAGCTTCTCTAAGTGATTTCAAGTGGTACTGCTCATTACGATGCCCAAAGGAGATTGTTTTGGGAAATGGGAATTTATATGATGAAATGGAATAAAATGTATTGCACTCAATTTTCATTTCATAGCCATTATCCAAGCTGGGTAGTAGAGCTTCTAAAAGGTAGAGGGGAGAAGTCTTGCCTCTGACAAATAGGTCCAATTTTTAAAAATATATTCTGCTTCTAAAGCCAGCAGCTAGTTAGGACGGTGCATGCCCCTCCCACACAGTTTACATGCCGTGAATTTCAGTATGTTGATGCCATTCTAGCCAACATTTGGAGCAACTTTTCAGAGTTTCTGCTGGATATAAGAAATAACTAAGTGAAAAATCTGATATAATAACTAAACTTTTGATTGAAAATGATATATTGATTCTCCACATAGATAACTTTAGATGAGTCTTAAGTAAAGGTAGTAATCTCATTATATATATATATATATACATACATATATATACATATATATTATATATATACATACATATATATACATATATATTATATATATATACATACACGTATGTATATATATAATCCTTGTGGAAGTTGTAGATGGATCTGATTTGGGACTAGAACGAAGAAGTCTGTATTCTCCAAAAATCCAGAGGCATTGTCATATTTTTAAAACAAATATACATATTTAAGAGCTTTGTAAAAAGCAGTGGTATTAAGGAAAAACTGTGTTACAGGCTGAAAAGGGCCTGTTCAAATTAATAATTTAAAACTTGAACCTGGAAGCAATTACCAGTCTCTACAATCACCACCACAGACACAGAGACACTTAGACACACACACGCGCGCACACACACACACACACACAACTCCTTTCCCTTTTACCAAAAGGCAGGAATTGAAAGTATTTCTCTCCTTACTAACTGATACTCTTTTTATTTTTTCATTGACAACAACAAGATGTCTTGGCCCATTCGAAAAATAAGAACGATAATCTAGGAACAAAGTCTGGTGCTTGAGCCCATAGATCATTCCTGCTGAGTTGGGTACAATCTCTTCTTCATAAAGACCATGCTACTTAGCCTACAGGTACATTTAAGTTGGGTAATTTCCCTCACAAAGT